CGAAAAAACATTTATTATATTTGAAACTAAATCAGTATACATAAAAATATATAATTTTTTGAGTCCATTTCTTTTTATCCTTTTTACAGACCAACTCAGAAGTAACAGCAAATTAGTTTGAAGATATAAAAAAATCTTCTTAAAACATTATATATAGATTATTAAAAAACTAACACAAAGTTCAAAATGATCAAAACGCCGACCTTTTATTTTATGATCTGGCGCTTTCCCAATAAAACAATAATAAAAAAATTTTCACAATATCTACAGTGAATAGAAAAATAGAAGGATTCATTCGTTCTGCTATACTTTGGAAGCGTTAGTGATCAATAACGAAGTCATGTTTCACATCACGTGATTCTTCTCTTTAAAAACACAATTAATACCCGAAATGCATTTCCACCTTCAATAAAGCCTGTATCAATAACTGTTCCTTGTGTGATATGTTACTGAAAAAAAAAAAACAAATAACTTTTTAATTTTTTAAAATTACAAGTTTAGATTAAAATATTACAAAAGCTTATATTATAAAGACACTTACCTTAAAAGGGCCTTTTACATATACAGCTAAGACAGAACTTTCCCGAAACTAGTAATCCGGGGGTAAAGATTCGCAACTGCAACTTGAAAATGGTGCAGTCGAGCCGCCATGTCCGAATATTTGGCTTTAAAAAGATATCCAGCCAAAATATCCGACCGTGTGTGCTTCTTTCCGGAATGTTTCAGCGAATCACACGTTTTTAAACGATTTGAAAACCGTTTAAACTTTCAAATTATAAATAAAATTAAACTTTAAATTTATTTTGTTTGTGGCGATGACGGGACATTTTGCTTTTAATATATATACAGATAAAACTTATTTAAAATAATAATATAAAAACTAAAACTGTGTGAATTCTAAAATGTCTCTTTTGTCGCATCACTAATATACCTCAAAGGACGTGACAAGGTTATAAATTTTAAACGTTTCTCGTCATAGCTGTAGGAATGTAAATATAGTTAACTTAATAGATTGTCTGTCATTTGATTTTTAAAGACCACGGAAATTTTCCAAAATTTACAACCTTTCAGTTACTTTTGTTGAATTGGAAAAATTTCTGTATTTATTACATATAATATTATCAAGAAATCAGTCTCCATTGTTCTCAGCTAGAGAATGGTTAAGTTTTTGTTTAAGTAAAATTCCTACCCTTGCATCAAGGTTTTATTTTCCTAATTTCTTAATTATTTAACTACTACTTAAGTAGAAATAAGTTGAAACCGTTTACAGGGTGAGTCAAAATTATGTGAACACTATTTGAGAGAAAGCATTTACTCAAAGTTTGCGTTATACAGAGTCTCAACCAGATCACCAGCACGATTAATGCACTCAAACCAACGTTCAACAGTACAATTTAGTGCCAGAACACCTTTTATTCTGTCCTTTCGTTCTTCGAGATCTCTCCACAAAATTAAGATGTTTCATTAATAATGTTTAATTAAAAATTAAGATTGTTCACATAATTTTGACTCACCCTGTACTTTGTACTTGAATATTTGTAGCCATGGGATTTAAAACAAAGTCACTCGCTGTCTGACTTAATAACGCCCTTTGCCTGAGACCGACCGATCGAACTTCGTGACACGGTGCTACTCAAACTGTGGTCCGCGGACCAGAGATGATCCGTCTTATCTATGTGAAATTAAATGAAAAAAACACAAAAACTGGGTGAATGAACACTGCTCTAACTGGTGTTGCATCTATTGTTTTAAAGTCTTTATGTAGTAGCCAATCGATCCCACTTCTTACATATAAATTATTGTTACATAACTTTACATTTTTAAACTTAAAGGATTAGTTAGGCTATATAAAACATATATGTTTATAAATTTAGATAATAAATTTATAAACATTTAATCTGAATTTTAAAATAATTTAATTCTGTTCTCTTTTTAAGAAGATAATCTCGAAAAATAAATCGTCGTTGTTAAATCTTAACTCGTGAATTTCGTTATGGAATATTACGGTGTTACGGAAGCGTAACTCGAACAAAGTTCGGGTTGCCCCCCTCCGAGAAATAGTCACGTGTTAGCAATAAAGGCTAATTCTGCTAATTCCGAACTCGTTTCTACATTCTGGCTAGAAGCGCGCTGTCCGACGCAACAACGGATATTTGTAAGAGTGGTTTCAACGTGGGCTCAGATAGTTCCGTTTTAGTATCCATTATGTGGTTTTATGAATGAAAAATGACAAGTTTTGAAAGCGCACGTCAATATATATATACATACCCACATGGTGGTGTAATTGGTAAGTGTCGTCTCGAGTTTTTTTTTTGTAACTACTAAAACGGTATTGGAAGGCTTTTTTAATATTTTTTCTCTAAAAACGCATATTTTAAAATTATAGATTTCGTCATCACGATGCTGTCTATATTACGGACGTCGCCATATTTTTCTTTCTCTGTCCGTTGTTCGCAATGTCTACGAACGATCGCTATTAACGAACGCACTACTCTATCACGCACGTGACGCAAGGTATAGTTGTCCGGAAACGCGTCAGAGCTGTAGTCACGTGACCGCCTCGCCCCGTCGTCACCGCTCACGTGACTGGATGACGTTTACCGAGGTGACGTGACACAAATTGTAAGCGTCCGCCGTCAAACGTGCTACTCCGCGATGTGAACGAGGTTAAACAATGGCGGCTTCCAACGTGTACAGTACAGTCGGTAAGTAATCCGATGAGTTTTCGCTTATAGCTGTTATTATACGCGTCGCTCCCAAATATTTCTATGTATTTAGGACACGTCTACTAGAGGAGGTGTCTTAAGAGAGCAAAATCAGAAAAAAGGGCCCATGAACTAAGGATAAACTTTACAATAATGCTTTCATACCTGTTGGAAAATATCAGTGGGATATTCCTCTGTAATATCGTCCCAAAAGTGGTTCTGCGGTGTAGCACAAAATTCTACGGTTGGTGTAGTAAAGTAAAGTCCGGCGGTGGAGAAAAACAATATCCGGCTTCGTCGCTGTGTCTCCTCTGACGAACGACTAGCGACTCCCTTGAGGGGGAGGGAGAAGCGGCTTTTATAACTTCATGCTGGGAAAATTCGTCATGTGATCAACTATTGTGAGAGTCAAGGTTGTTTTAGAAGGTGTGGAGGTTAAAGTTGTTTTCGGGACCACAACAAAATGACGAATTCGGACTTTAATTGTAAACTTTACAGTGTTTCAGCGGGGAGAATATGTGTGTTTGGACTGGAAGAGTTATAAAGTTCCCACGAACTCTAAAGTTCGTTTCTCTAGGCACTGGATTCATTCATTTAAAAAATCAGATTAAAATTTGAATTTTACATCATTCTTTGCTTTCTTTAAATTGTACTTAGTGCAATTTTAAAATTGTGTGGTTGGCTGACGTTGCGGTTACAGGTATAGTTACAAAAAGATTCGATTTTATTCTCTCTCTCTCTCTCTCTGTCTTTAGACATCAATTAATAACAAAGTTTATAATTTTGTAGTTAACAGTCACGACGGTTTAGGTAAATGGGTTGAGATTAGAAACGGGATTTTCTTAGGTTGCTTGCTGATTGGCTGAGCGGAAGTTCTTGTTGACCTGTTGTGAGAGTAGGTCAAAGTTCTTTGTGTTGGGGCTGTTGTCGAAATTGGTATAAGTTTACAAAATACACTCCAATTTTTTCCTCTTAATTATATTTACAATAGACACATACAGGTTATACATGTCAAAAACACATCGAATATATGATAGCAAACGCATTTAAAAAACGCTATAAACAAAAAATTGTAGGACTACTTACCGACTGTGCACCGCTATCGCTTAAGTTTGTTTTCGTCGTGGAGATGCACATTGAATGGCGGACGCGCACACAGCGTTTCACGTGACCTGGCTTCCACGTCAGCCGCTCACGTGACTATAGCTGTGACGCGTTTCCGGACAACTTTTTCTTGTGACGGAAGAATTCGTTCTGTTTGCATTATACCTCGCAGGCGTCACGTAATACAGCAAAGACACCCTACGGTGCGCACATTAATAGCGGCGTGGCGACCCGCGTGGACACCCTTGCGGATCAGTTTGACGAACTTTGTTTAGTTACGCTTCTATAACACCGTAACATTCTATAACGAAATTCACCAGTTAAGATTCCTTTTATTTAATTGCTGAAACTGTCCAATTTCATAATCCGTCGAGATTGTAGCGGTGGAACCATTATTTTGGGTATTACAGCCGTTTTTCGACCGCCGGCAGATAACCGTTACAAAGGTCAACTTTTAATTTCGATTCGTTATTTCTAGGTTTTGGTTTTATTTACAATATTTTGCTTATTACCGCTTTTTCTAGTGTAATTTCCGATCCTAATTCCGTCGTCGATTTTACGGTGGGCCTATTTTTCGGTTATTTATAACTGTCCGTGGTTTTGTGCCTCGCGGGCCGATTGCGGGCTTTCTGCGTTGTTGTGCATGCCGTTATTTGGGTGGATTGTTTATGATATATTACGGTATAAGGTGTGTAATTTTGGGGTCGATTGCTGTATTAGTTTAGGAGTTATTTTCGATTTTCTTCATGAACGGTCGTTTAGGTCAATGACCTACTCTATTTGAACCTAACCTGTTAGTTGTTTTAACCGCTTTTTCTCTGGTTCTAATTGCCCGATCTGGGCCAGTTTTTTAATTCTTGGAGGGGATCGGTTTGAGGTGTCAGACACCTATTTTTCATTAGATTTGGCCCATATTTTTGCCAGATATCGTGTCGATCCTTTTTGCGTTTCGGGTATCGCTGACGGGCCTCCTTTTTGCTGGACCTTTTTGTAAGTTTGGAGTTCTATTCGGTATATTATTTCCTAACTAGGCTATAAATTTCATACACCTATCTCTGATTGTTTTCAAATTATCGATCTTTATCGTCGGGAGTATCGGTCGTAAGATACAATCTACTCTAATTCACCCTAATCCGGTTCGTTCGAATCGCTACTAGCAGAGTCGGTAGATTAACTGGTCTCTCGACTAATACTTCAAACTTAGCTAGAGACAATATTTGCCGCTAGTTGTCTCCACTGTTGGCAGAAGAGCGTTGTTCTTGCTATGTATATACTGATATCAGTGTTTTCGACCTATAATAATTGTTTTTTTTTAGCTACATAAAAATGCTAACGTGCTCTGCGCCAGGATGCAAGGCAGGATATAAGTTATCGAACGAGAAGAGACATTTCTTCCGTGTTCCTAGCGATAAGATTGAGGAGTGGATGCGATGCATATCACGAGACGACAAGATGTTAACAAGTAAATGTTACGTTTGTGACATACATTTTGCGAGTAGATTTATTTTAAAAACCTACTCCCATGTTATAAATGGAGAGAAAGTAGAAATTCCACGAGATCGAGAAACTGAATTTTAGTCTTAAATTGAGATACCTAAATAAGGGGACGGCGAAATTTTCCTTTTCCCGGGCGGCTGACATCCGCGCTACGCCACTGACATTATATATTGGATTGTTTCAAATACCAGGCTGAATATTTAATCCTACTTGGTACATACAAGACTTACACTTTCGCAATTAGACTTTGCTGGACTTCGAAGACTCCTCAAACTTCTATTAAGTCTTATAAAAAGTAATACAGTTAATGTACTTAACACTTAGATATCAAACTATATACTGAATTTATTCCTACATACTTATTCACAGAAGGTTTCTTGAAATATCGAGAAAAGACCACAACGGACATGAAGCACAGTTCTTCTTTAGTATCAACACTAAACAACTCAACCAAACTTCACAGAGTTTAATGGTGTTATTCTTTTATGGTGATTTGCATAACAATGCGTTCTTATTCAGAATTTCTCAGATTTCTTCCAAAAAATTTTTCTCTAAAAAATTTCCAAAAGAACCCAGGTACTACTTTAAACTTAGATATTAAACTATATACTGAATTTATCCTTACGTACTTCTTTACAGAAGGTTTCCTTAAATATCGAGAAAATCCTATAATGGACATGCAGCACTGTTCTTCTTTAATATCAGCACTAAGTAACTCAACTAAACTTCAGTCTTTCTAATTTTATTCTTTTAACTCTTAACATTTAATGGCGTTTTCCTTTTATGATGATTCGCATAACAATGCGTTCTTATTTATAACATTTGTGAAGTAAGATTCTTAACTATTTTTCAGATTTCTTCCAAAGAACACTTCAAAAAAATCTTCGAAAATCCTTAAATAATTTTTTTTATTTATTTCTCAAAAACTTTTCGTATTCCCCAAAAATTTCTCTTTTCAAAAATCTCCTACAGTATTTTCAGACAATTCTCGTTGATCTTTAAACTTAAGTTTTTATTTATACAATTTTTATTTTTTAAAATTTTTATGCTCTCTTTAAATTTTCTGCTATAAGTTTCTTTTTCTTTATGTAGTATGTTTACATTATTTTGGTCAATATTACAGTTATTTAACAAAAGCTGAAATAAACGAATGAGTTATGCCAAGTGTTGATTGTTACGCTACATTACGGCTGTAAAAAATTTTTTAAAATAACACGCATTCCTACTTAAATAAAAAGAAGTTCAAATTTCAGAATTCTCGAATTATGTTACAGCGAAAGCAAAAAGTGTGTTGAACGAGGGATATCAACAATTTTCAAAGCATGTTAGAACGAAACCGTCTTCTAGAAACGCAGTATTGCACGAGAAATAAGTGTATTTTAATAGCAAATTGTTAAAGGTTTACGTTGTCNAATTCGAACAAAACATTCGAAATATAAAGCCACTTTCAACCACTTTCAAGCCCATATCTCCCGCACCTTTATAGCTATCGAGACGCAACCACCCCTATGCACAAATGGAGACTTGGGGCTACTACCACATACAAACACCATGTGCGATGTGTAGTTTTTGCAGAAAAGTGAAATATAGGGACACACACGTCCATTTATATATATATATATATGACATGTGAACAGCTTTCTCGCATCCTATCATCAATGTAACAAAACACTGATTTATTATATCCATTATCTATATCTATATATATAGATATAGATAATGGATATAATAAATCAGTGTTTTTCATAATAAATCAAGTCATACTTGACCTCCACATTTTGCACTTTTTTGTTACTGTCGGTTGCTATTTTTCACTGGAAAGATTAATTAATCAATCATTTATTTCATCAGTTGTAAGTAAAAAAAAAAACACAGAAATTTTATCAGCGCAAATAATGATGATTATTATTATGTATAATAAATTGACATAATAGTGTGAGCCGCCGGGGAGGTCGGAAGTCGTCAACGTTTCTCCTTTCCGGCAACAGGTCGTGACCTATTCTTTTGTTCAGGATGGCGGTTACGTTCGGTTACGCGCAACGCGGGTGGAGCAGAGTCAGAGAGGTTCGACGGTAAGACGTGGACAACAGTCCAGTAAAAACACCATTCGTAACAAAACAAAGGTTTATTAAAGTCAACTAAAGTAAAAATTTACAACTCTAACTACGTTAAATTCCTTTCTAACACTATCCTTCTAATGCGCGGAAAGTTGAGAGAGAGAGAAATTAAGTAAAAGTTTATCCTTACTTCTTGGGCCCTATTTTTGTAATTTTGGTCTCTTAAGACACCTCCTCTAGTAGACGTGTCCTAAATACATAGAAATATTTGGGAACGACGCGTATAATAACAGCTATAAGCGAAAACTCATCGGATTACTTACCGACTGTGCACGGTGGAAGCCGCCATTATTTAACCTCGTTCACATCGCGGAGTAGCACGTTGGACGGCGGACGCTTACAATTCGTGTCACGTCACCTCGGTAAACGTCATCCAGTTACGTGAGCGGTGACGACGGGGCGAGGCGGTCACGTGACTACAGTTCTGACGCGTTTCCGGACAACTATACCTTGCGTCACGTGCGTGATAGAGTAGTGCGTTCGTTAATAGCGATCGTTCGTAGACATTGCGAATAACGAACAGAGAAAGAAAAACATGGCGACGTCCGTAATATCGACAGTATCGTGATGACGGAATCTATAATTTTAAAATATGCGTTTTTAGAGAAAAAATATTAAAAAAGCCTTCCAATAGCGTCTTAGTAGTTACGAAAAAAAAG